GATGGGAGTCGAGGTGCTAATATTTCATATGATCTGACACTGGGCGGACGATGTCAAACTGTATCAGATAGTTTGATAAATCTTTCTGTGCGTCTCGCCAACCACAGTGCCAACAACAATGTCAGTGTTCCAGGCCCTGTTCAACCGGGTCCATATAACTTCGTCGTGAAAAACACAGATGTTAATGGTTTCGCTTACTTCAGTGTTCCTAATGGAACCACACTATTCAATAATCAGCTCGTGCAACAAATCGAAATCATCAATACTCAAGCGCCTAATGCAACAATTGTGATCAATGTAGGAGGAACATCGATTAATTTCAACATTGGCAACATTGTTGGAAATTTAACACAGGATTATACCCGAGCTAGAACGTTGTTTAATTTCTATGAAGCTACAAGTATCATTCTGCAACGAGAGTTTATGGGAGCTATGTTAGCACCTCTTGCTGTTGTTCAAACGAACTCCAACATGGATGGAGCAACTGTTGTCTTATCACTAACAAGTGGAGGCGCAGTTCGCCAGCCAGCATTCAAGTTGCCAGCATGTTTAGGCAGCATTTGAGCATAAATCATATTAGGTAAGATGAAGTCCATCTATAGAGTTGTTTTTGCATGAACATCCAAGATCATTTTAGTGAACATCAATACAAACTATTCTGTTCTCCTTTTAGTGACAATACATATACATAGAAAGACAATTATTATTACCAAGGATGAGACAACTCAATGAGTGATTTAAAACCCGATTGTAAATTTTAGAAAAAGCCAAATCTTAATCAGCAAATCAAATTATTTCATTAAATGCATGTCCTAGTAAGAAATCAACTTTAAACCAGAAAAGCAAACTCAATCGTCACAATCATAATCCGTATACAATTAGTTCCTGTTTGTTGTTTTATTCACAGCTTTCCTTTTCACGATACGCTTTTTCATGCTTTTTTTGTCGGTTCTTTTCTTTTCTTTTTTCTTGTCTTTTTTCTTTTCTGTTCTGCATCGTCTTAGCTTTAGAAATAAAATATAATCACATTGCTTGCCAGAATTGTTTGATGGAGCGAATAGAGCAGAATCGAATGCTAATAGTAGTAGGCAATAGTGACAATCGATAGGGAATCTATTTTTGTTTATATACAAATGCGCATTCTCGCAAACGCATTTAAAGACAACAGTTCCAAATACCGAATAAAACATAATAGTCATCTAGAATCATATAGACAGTGGTTTAACAAATGTGTTTCAGACAGATACACAGACCAAACGAATAATTACTGTTCTATAGACCCTAGATTATGCAGTCTATTTATTAAACATTGCGTGATTAAAATATACGGAAAAATGGTATTGAGTGAAAGAAACGACTCAATCAGCCGTAGACTAGTAAACAACTTATATATATTTATGCAAAATCAATGCATTGTTTTGTTTTTTGATTTGATTCGAACTTCCTGACTTTTTGAAAAATGTGAAATTTGTGATTGATGTTTTTGTTTCAAATTTCAGGTTGGGTGTGAGGCAGAGATCGAAACAAATGAGCAAATCTCAATTCTATTCGATTCGATTTCGTTTATAGTACAAAAAATCCTTCATGGTAACGTGTAAATGTATCTAAGTCCTGCAAAAATTTTACTGAAGTTTTCGTCTATCTATATGTTAAATCTATCGTTTAGGCATTATGAAAAAAATATTTTTTTCTTATCGATCAGTAAAGGTAGTACTTTCTAAATTATCAGAATTAATGCTGCTCTAGGTATTATCTGCTTGGATAAAGACACACATATTAAGAAATGGAGTAGAGTAGCTTGTAATTTCAGTTGAATTACATTTCAGTTTCATGATCTGTACCGCAGTCAGTAGTTCCTAAATTTCATTGGATCAATTTCATAGACTGTAAATAAGAACACCGCAATATTTGGCTTTTCAGTAAAGTTTTTCAAAATCAGTTGTCCTGCCAATTATTGATTCGGATATATGACAGAGCAATCAATTATCGAAATTACAATTAATTATGATTGTACTGTTGATCATATAATTCAAGAAGCAAACACCTGCCATACCAATAAAAGAACTCCATCCATATACGAGAAAAGAAATTCAAAACATCGGTAGGTACCGACACTGTCTGAAACTAGAAAGCCGCTATAGGTATGTGAAAATAGAAGTAGTCATAAAACAAGCTACACATGGGTCTGATTCCTCTAAATATATCTATCTTGAAATAAATCAATAGAAGCTGAGTTTTTAAAATAAAACACAAGCAATAGTTGATCTAGCAGACTTCTTACGCAAAGAGATCGATATAGTATGCGACAGCATAATATATAGAGAACATGGTCCTGTCCTGAAGTGAAGATTATTGCTCATGTTGTAAACTCAATGAAGGAATTGCTGCTGAGTCGAATAAGGAGCGTTTCATTCGATTCGATTCGATTCGTGGGTAGGTGTGGACGATAGTGGTATTGGCGTGAGTGAACAGAGAATTCACATGAACACCACATACCCACACATCAAACCCGAATACAGACCAAGATCCACACTGCGCACTCTAGGCTGCACACTTACCAGAGATGTCCATCGCGCCGCTGCCGCGCCGCTGCCGCGATGGCCTGTGGCGGCAGCGACAGCGGCAGGTTTTTTAAAAAATCACCGCGGCAGCGGCGCGGTAGCGGTAGATTTTTTAAAAATCATCGCGGCAGTGGCGCGGTAGCGGCAGGTTTTTTAAAAGACCATCGCGGCAGTGGCGCGGCAGCGGCAGGATTTTTTTGGGGAACATTGAAAAACTGCATGAATTTAATAGAATTTCAGGGTTTACAAATGAAACACCCCGAGACTGAATGAATCTGATGGACTAGTACCAATATCTCTGGTCAAATATAGTCGCAGCAGTGAAATTAGAAACACTTTTTTGTAAACCGACGCGGCAGCGGCGCGGCGGCGGCACGTTTATTTGATAATTCATCGCGGCAGCGGCGCGGCAACGTTTTTTTTATAAGCCATCGCGGCAACATTTTTTTATAGACCGTCGCGGCGCGGCTGCGGTGCGGCAGCTTTTTTTTTCTAAGGCCGCGGCGCGGCAGCGGCAGATTTTCAGCCGCGATGGACATCTCTGACACTTACACCCTTAATAAGTGTTGGAGTGGAACTCGAGATTACTGGTTGAAATCGAAATTTGAATCAACCGATGGTATTCAAAGAATCTTGACAATCATGAACCACTCGAATCAATTGATTCATCTTTGTATTCAGGCCTTGCCGTGCTCCCTCCCTTGAAAAGGTCAATTTTCATCAAAAAAAAGGCAAACTGAGATAAATGCATGAGACAATAGCCTGCATTCTGTTTTTGCAGAAAAAATATGACTTTTAAATCGGTACCTCGCTTCGGTGCGAAGTTGTTGATAACTGTCACCTTGTTCTACCTCTAAAATACTTTCTTTCAAAATATTTTTTCAATTTTCTCAGTATATCCTTTTTTATCTCGCAATTCAGGATTCTCAATGGAGTTTCGTTTTCTATACTTAAATGTTTTTCTTTAAAAGAGCAGATCAAGATGAAATGCAGGACAGTCTTTTTTATTAAGCTTTTTTTCTGTTATCTATAGAAACACTTATATAAATAGACAGATTTTTAGAGAGTTGTTTGAGTTATTTCCTTTTATCAGCTTAAAAATTAAGAGTTTTAGAAAAAGGCTCTCTAATGCACTGTATCCTGACATGCTCTTTCAAACGAAAAAAGTTAAATATGTAGAATGAACCTGGAGAGAAATATTTGATTTGTCAAACAAGCTAATTTTGAGCCTTGTTCAGTGAATAACTCTATCAAACGTCATGGTATAGAACTGAAAATTTTAGCACAGCCTCTTCACTACAGTCGTAACATATCTTTCCAGTTTCAGGTGATTTTCATGTATCTGGCGTGAAACTGGTTTTTTGAAAATGGGAAGGAGAAGGCCTTTAGCAACGAACCCCTTTCAATCTGACAAATACAGTGTATTGATGAAGGACTCATAGTCGGACATAATATGATGATCTAATTTGTATGTCATTTTTACACACGGCTGCACTGAAACATTGTTGCTTTGAAAGCAAAAAAAATCATTGTCCTTGATAAGAAAAAAAAAAGATAAGCTAGTAATAATAATCGATGTTCCAACTATGCTTTACATTAATGAAATCGAGTTAACCTAACTGATTATGCATGACGTGAACAGAAATAGCAGCGAATTTGATGTATGTTTAGTTTGAGAACAAGAACTCGAATTTTAGAGAAGAATTTGAACAACATGATGAAACTAGTCGAGAAGCTAATCAAAAGAATAAAATATGATAAATAAATCTTTTTCTTATTTCTCTCCAATGAATTTTCTTACTTGTTCGTTTACAATACAATCGTTGACCAGTATGGACCAATGATGGTGAATAGTAAAGCTGAATGTGACTAACTACTGTACACAATGTTTAATTAACAAAATTATAAGTGAATGGAAAAATGTTTGATTGAGCTTGATTAAAAAAAATTCAGAGTGTGGACGTGAATGGGGATGGGTGTAGAGCGTAAGTGCATTTGCGGTAGTGTGTAAAGGCTATATCTACACTCAAGTCTGCACTCGCACTTACACCATCGGCATGTTATCGTTATTTATGATGTAGAATCCATAGAAAAAAATTTCTAATATAAAGATGATGTCTCGTCAAATACATTTCTACTAAATAAAAATAAAACATAGGAGAATACTTCAATTGATAAATTAAAGTGGTAAATAAGGTTTCGATGCAAACGAAAGAATCGCAAAAAAAATTTTTTTTGCATCGTTGTATTTGTTTTTTCTTCATTTCTGTTGTTATTGATCACCAAGGAACCATTTAAGTTGTTGCTGTAATTGAATTGAGCAATGACATATAAATTTTGAAAAAATTGTTGATTTTAACATCAGACGATAGTTTTGAAGTAATTCTATAAGAACAGAGACACGCAAAGTTTTCATTCGTCGAAACATTTTTGTTAAAGATGTGTTTCTGTAATTGTTCCTTTATCTATAAAAAATTAGCCTATCTACATGCATTAACTGGTTTTCTTGAAATGGTTTTTGGTATTGTACGTCTAGCAATATTCTTTACGCCTACTAGTACAGCCGCTAATACTCGTAAACCGTACAGTCAGAAATATGTGGCCGCATTTATCATCGACTGGATAAGTTCCATTGTTCCAACATTAGTCGGTTTATTAGTTACACTTATTATTCTTGTTATCTTATGGAAACTTTGTGCTCTCTGTATCAATACTTACAATAAACAAAAAGGTAAACAAAATCAAAATATCGACACTAGTGGAACATTACGAAAATTAATACGAAACAAAGCTCTTCGCCGTTTTATAATAGCTGATTGTAATTGTCCTTGTTACAAAGCAAGACCAAAACTTCGTTTTCAAATGCGTTTTGGTTTATTACTTGTATTTTTCATATTACGTATTGTCGCGATAGCACTTTATGCATCATCAACTGATGGCGATGGTGGAATTCTTGCTACCCTTTGTGCTATTTCACTAATATTTCTATTCAATACTCTTTGGTTGGACCTTTATCGTTACTGTGTTTGGTGGCATTATTCACCTTCAGGCGATACTCGTTGCCATTTACGATCAAAACAACATGAACGTTATTTACCATATCATATGGTTGGAGAATATCGTGATCCACGAACATTAGGCGATCGACCATGTACAGACAAACCTTGTCATAAAAGAACACTTGATCATATTGCTGTTTTTCATTCCAATGATTATCAACCACAAGATCGATGGCGAGATATTCCCAAACCACCATATCAAGCTGTATCAAATGAAAAGAAATTCTTTTGTTGGAAATCAGATGAAATTGATAATCAACCTCATTATATTGGTTTTCATACAACTGATCCAGAATCAGCTATTTCTATAGCTCATAGTCAATTTCGTCCGGGTAAAAATGGATGGCTTGGTCCTGGAGTTTATTTTGCTCGATCAATCGAAGGAACAATTGGAAAAGCGAAGAGTTCGGGTGGTGCTACTATTATTGCTGAGATTCGAATGGGAAAAGTCTATCATGTTGATCGAGATCATATAGCAAACAATCATCCGAACTTCAAAAAGGAAATATATGAGTATGTTCATCATGGAGCCTGGCAAAAAGATAATGATACATGTTACATGATTCATCATGATGCTTTCAGAGATGAATTTGCTATTAGAGATGCAGACAAACAAATCGCTAAATGGGTTATGGTGATCGATCAACAGTTTGATTCTAAAGTTGAAGATTACGAACTTATTACAGAGTTTGATTCTACCAGATGCTTTTGTATTTAATCTATTCGCTCAGTTTTAATATATTATCTCGTTAGATCTAATGGCATAGATTTCTTTGAGTGTCTCCATCACATGTAGAGCTTAGAACTTACTCATAGAAATAAACTTTTTTCGTTTCATTTTCGAGTGTGGTGGGTGTCAGTGTGGGGGTACATATGAGTATGGATGTTGGTCTTCTGTTCATCTACATCCATCCACGTCCTCTCTTTTACGGTCTGTTTTTTTTTTCTGAAGTAGAGATTATTCAATAGTGTAAATAAATCGAAAAGTATGCCGCTTGATGTAGTGCTTGACGCAAGGCAAATGTTACTTTAATCGAATGACGAAGACAAATGTTTATGAGAGGAGTGGTGCGTCTGTACGCACAGTATGTATCTGTTAGAGAAGGAGAATAAACATAGGGAAAGATTGAAATAAGCTGACGTATGGTTGAAATCAAGGTAGCATGCGCTTGTGCTGAAATGAAGAAGAAGTTTTCGTCAGAACTTGTCAACGCGTATTTTTATTTAATGGAGAGTAACTTGTTTACAATTTGGCTTGAACTTAATGCTTTTCAGTACATGAATTAATAGTCATCTAGGAATTGATATTTGACAAAAAAAGTGGAAATTCTTTAATCATGCTGACCAATGTATAGATTATATGACATAGGAAATCGGAAGCAAATTTTATTAAATATTTCTAGGTCTCTACGTTGATTGTCTTATTCTACTAATTTACGATTCGGAGCAAATTAAAAAAAATCTATGCGCATAGGAGTAATAAATAAATTAAAGATGATGGCAAACTATGTTTTTTGCATGATATGAACCATCGAATAAGTCTTGATGAATGAATAAACAGCGAATGAAAAAAATACATTACCTCTATCAATATTTTCTAACCATTAAGACAAATCTATACGTAATTTGACAATGAGGCCAATGCCGCATTCATTTGACATTAGTTATTAATTGATGTACTATCACGAATACCATCATCAACTCAAAGTGCGAAGGCTGACTTAATAAAACGTAGTCGAAAGTGCTATGAAGAAAATGAAAGTGAGCAATAAAAAACATCAATGAATGTGATGAATATTATGAATCACCAATTGCTATTTTCTGGTATACACGAAACTGTTTTCTTTTTTTGTCTTTTGAAAGCTACTCGATTTATTTTCTTTGCAACGTTTTTCATCGAGGCTAACTGTTTATCGTGGTCAAATTATAGAATTAACAGAATAGTAACATTTGAAAGAAGGTATTGACTAGCTAATATCGATGAATACGTTTTTTTTTAATAACAACTGATAAAGAAGTTGCTTCAATATTCACTGGCGATGGTACAAATCGTCTGTCATATGAACATTCTGTTCAATTTGAAATGACTAATCACACCATTCGCTGTCATAAGTCCAAACCGTCTGCTGATGTTAGCAAATATAATTTTATGAAAAGTGAATATGAAATTCTTCTGTCTATGGGTAGATTTTTTCGAATCTCTTCTGCTGATATTGAAAATAATGTATGAATTGTAAAACTCATACTTAGAGAACAAGAACATAAACTGCTAAAACAATTCATTGATTTTCAAAAAAAATTACTGAGAGAAAAAGAAACTGTGGTGCTTTTAGAAAGACTTTTACAAAACACAGGAGAAGTCGAAAAAGCAAAACGTTATTATAATCTTTTATTAGAAGATCTGTTGGAGAATTCTGTAGACGTATCAACTGTCTATAACAATCTTGGTGCCATCACTGAGGACGAATACTAGACGACAAAGCTTTGAATGCTTATGAAATAGCAATCAGCATAAATAAAAAAATTTTATTCGAAATTCATCCGCACACTGTCTTGTCGTATATTAATATCGCCAGTATTTATTCTCAAATGGGTGAAACTGAAAAAGTGATAGACAACTACGAAAAAGTACTTAGCATTCTTTTTCAGCTACTTCAAATTAATGATCATCCAAGAACTGTTGGGTGCATCTCCGACATCACTAATAGTCTTGGTGTATTGTTCTTCAAGAATGGCAATCACGAACGCACTCGCTGGTATCTCAATAAGATGCTTGACTTCAAGCTAATATATTTACCAATCGTTCATTCATCCTGGACATTTGCATTTTATAATATTGGTAATTGTTTTGAACATATTAGCAATTATGAGCAAGCTTTGATTTTTTAGGAAAAGTCATTCGAAATATATAATCAATCGGTACCAGTGAATCATTCCCAAACAGCAACAGTTATTTCAATGATTGATGGCTTATACTATACAAAGTCTAATTTGCCAATAGCCGTCAAATATCTTGAAAAAGTATTAGACATCAATAAAAATATATTGACAAAAGATCATCCAGATGTTATTACATCCGATAGTAACTTAGCATCGATGTATCATCATCTAGGAAAGAACGATTTAGTAATTGACATTTTTGAAAATGCAGTAAATTCTACTACTATGTCGAAGCCACAAACTTTCATCTTGCTCATAAGAGAGTGTGCGTGTGCATATGGGTTAACAAAATGATATTAACATTGTCTCCTGTTGCGCAATCTTATTTATCAATGCATCCAGAAAATTTAAAAGAAACAAAACGAAAACTTGAAAAAGCCACAATGAAAAAAAAGTTCTCCAGGCTGAATGTTCAAAGTCTATTTTTACATCTAAAACAGTTCGTATTAAATTGGATTTTGACTAGTCAGAGGGTGTGATTCCTAGTGTGAGTGTGAATGTTGTTCTTCGCTATATCCATATCCACACTCATATACACACCCAAGCCCGAGCAAATTTATTGGAAACGAAAGGCACACCTTTCTTTTAGTCTGATAAATTCTATGTAGAATCATATATGACTTAATTTTTTTGATGAAGATTCTGAAAGGCGACATGATACAGAAACTCTCCAAACACGGTTTTTCAGAAGGGCTTTGGAAGTAGTTCAGTTCCTATCAAGATCGCTAAGTTCTTTTTTTCCAATTCTTTGTTCTGATAAAATTGAGTGAATTCTTTTCTATATATTTTCATGCAAAGCAGAAGTTTCGAGCTTGAAGCTGCTGAGAACTCTGATGTTTGCCCAAGGTCTCAATGCTGATTTTTCTCAATACGGTCTCGAACTTATGAATTCTGTAACTTCGGCCTTCAATAATAGAAAAAGTTGAAATTATCCATAAATTTTGAACAGATTATAATCTACTTAGTGACAAAAAATGAGAGAGATATGAAAGGTGTGGGTGTTCTTCCCAAGGTACGAAAGATTCAACGTTATTTTTCGTGTTTTCATGTTAAAGGAAAACATGTAAACACTCGTACATTCATATAAGCTATCGTAGCTTACGGTTGGGAGTTCTCATTTTTTTAATTACATGATCTTCTGTTTTAACCTAGGTCACCATACAACTGACATACGTAGGTTTGATAAGAAGACTCATGCTACTCTATGAGCTTCGAAAGACCTGACTTTCTGGTGTGATTCCAATCGTACAACAATTCAATTCTCCGAAAAAATAATTGTTTTTTACTATTTATTTTAAATGCGACTAGACGCGTTAAAAACGCAGCACAAGCACGCCCAGGAGATTCGATCCGACCTGTAGATTCGATCGAAAACGATCGGATCTGCCTCGGATTTCATCGGAATCCGACATCTTTCATAAAAAACCGATCGGATCCGACAAATATAGGACCGGATCCGACCGAAATTATTCCGAACTGGCGAGATCCGACTGGGGTCGTTTGACCTGGGCGTTTAAAATACGTTTTAGGCCCTTAACTATTTACATAAGTATGATAACAAAAAACATGAACTTTGTTCTTTCTGTTCACACCTTATTATAGAATGAGAAAAGGACAACGTTTATTGCTCTCCGATTGTGCAAGACCTATAAATGTTGATGCGCCTTTATAAAGTGATGACTGACAGTTGTTACATACCAATTGCAAGTTTTCATCTAATGTCCAACTACAGTGGACGTCATAAGTCTCACACCACTTTTTTGTTTTGGTTGGCATTTCAAAAATACACGACATAAATTTAAATTTCTTTTTATCTTCAGATAGCAGAGCTCGAGTACTATATGTATGCATACTTTTGAAATGAATAACTCTTGAAGCGAAAACATACGAAAAAAAAAACAAACTTCAGTACTACAACAAAAACTACCTAAAAAAAAAAGACAAAATGGTATGATTGTTATGAGTTTGAGTAAGACCCTAGTAATGTGAAAACCGAATAATTTTTTGTTTGATATTTTTACATGAATCGATAGATCTTGATGAGCTCTACAAAACTGTCTATATTAAAATTTTTTAGAATTCGCTTCGGGGACAAAAAAGATTACAAAATAATTGCATGCTTCGTTTGTTCTATATGAAAAGTCAAGAATCTTTTTTATGCTATAAAAGGGTAAAAATCACAATTTTATTACAAATTTTAGTCCCAGAAAATGGTTCTAAAAAATTTAAATACAGATAGTTTTGTAGAGCTCGTCGAGATCTATCAATTCATGTAAAAATATCAAACAAAGTCTTACACGAGTTTCGTATTACTTCAACTTTAGTGAAACTTCTATAACTCATAACAATCATAGCATTTTGTCTTTTTTTTAGGTAGTTTTTGTTGTAGTACTGAAGTTTGTTTTTTTTCGTATGTTTTCGCTTCAAGAGTTATTCATTTCAAAAATATGCATACATATAGTACTAGAGCTCCGCTATCTGAAGATAAAAAGAAATTTAAATTTATGTCGTGTATTTTTGACATGCCAACTAAAACAAAAAAGTGGTACGAGACTTATGACGTCCACTGTACTTCCTGAAGTATTTTCATCTTTTATAGATAACATGAGATATCAAATCCTTAGACGAAGGATCTTTGCGAAAGAAAATGTCAGAATTGAAGGAAACTGGTGTACTATCTGCTATAGGTGAATTTTCGGATAAATCAATTAAACAGGATCACTTAATTTTGTACCATAAGATTTAGTTTGACGACCAATCTATACGATGTCAATAAAG